TTTTTACCTTTACATCTGAGTTTGACCTACTTTTGAAAAACTTTAACCTAGGCCATAACTTTTGAACAGTTGGTGCTTGAGGTTTCAAACTTCACATGTGTATTCCTTGTGACAAGACCTTCCTCTGGAATTTAACCTCTTTGACCCTTTGACCTTGACCTAGGAGTTTGACCTACTTTTGAAAAACTTTAACCTTGACCATTTTTGGTTAACCTCCGCTCCCCCCCCCCCATCAGTGTTTCACAAACACATCTTGTGTAAAAATAATTTTCCTTTTTTCAGTAGGTCGTGATTTTTTTTTTTTTTTTTTTTTTTGGTTAACCCCCGCTCCCCCTCCCCCAAATTTCTTATTTGTCAGACAATATCAAATTTGGTCAAATAGATAATTATCCTACTGCCTTGACAAATATCTAATTTGTCGGAACGAATATTTAAATTGTTCGAACAAATATCTAATTTGTCGCAACGGATATCTAAATTGTTCGAACAAATATCTAATTTGTCGGAACGAATATCTAAATTGTTCGAACAAATATCTAATTTGCCCAAGCAAAGAACAAGGTACGGTTTCAATACAAATCTGGCCCTGTATTTCTCTATAATTTTGAAGTGATGTAAGAAATTAAAATCCACCTTTTCTGAATTATTGAAATTCCATGCTGTAAAAATATAAAAATTGTTTTTCCAATATGACCTCTTAAATGTTAATTGTGACGTCATGAACTTGTGCATTTTCCCGTATTTCCTCTAAAGTTGCAGAAGACATCAATTTTCAGTGGCATTTTCTTTCAGAAAACATACAGCGCATGCATCGCCCACAAAGATTTTGAGATATGCAATTTTTCAAAGTATTTTACATAATATATCTAAAAATTGAAGTGGGCGAGGGCTGCGGACATTATTTTCTAAAGGAAAATAAGCACAGAAATGAGTCATTTTGAGGCTTTTCTGCATAAAACTAAGAAATGTACCATTTTAATGAGGTCATATTTCCAGAATGGTCCTCCTTCATGCCATATACTTTAATGATTTATCACATTCATCTACTCAACTCACGTTATAGCCAATTTAATAACTTTTTAAGAACATTAAATTTTTAGGGCACATTAAAGCCCAAACCGTACCTTCTTCTTTCTAATTTGTCCAAATAAATATCTAATTTGTTCAAACAAATATCTAATTCGTCCAAAAGAATATCTAATTCGTCCAAAAGAATTAATATCTGAGTCGTCCAAAAGAATATCTAATTCATCCAAAGGAATACCTAATTCGTCCGAAAAAATGTCTAACTCTTCCGAGTGAATAAATATTTTTTGACCTTGCCATCCAGCCGCCCCATACATATGAAACAAGTTGTAAAATCTATTCAGAACAAATCATAAGGAGAAGTTACTGTAGCATTTCATAAAAAAGAAATTTGAAGATAATTTTTCTCTAAGTAACAATTTGCCCTATTCAGGTAAAAACTCACCAATCATTGACAAACCTCGCTTGAAATCTGTTCATCTTATTTATTTATTCATTAGCGTACTCATTATCCGAATCTATTCTTTTATACATATATCCTTATTTCTTTGTGAAAAAAAACATCATTTACTATAGTTTTGTATATGGATTGTTAAATTAAGTTCGGGTTTTCTATGATGCAAAGATTTAACTGCGTGGACCCTATTCCATTGAGTTTCATCTTCTATTGAATGAAATACATTTAGTAGGAAACAAACCGCATGTACATATATACATGCATGTAGTGGCCTCATCACTAAGTTGCACATGCCTGAAATAGTTCAAATTTCTTTTAAATCTAAAATTCATATATAGAACTTAAAATTGATATAATTAATCGTACTACTTTTAGAAATGCATTGTATTCAGTACGTAGCTCGTTTTCAGGAATATTTTTTTTTTTCTATTATTGATCGAAATATTTGTCCATATAAACGTACATTAAATATACTTAATACTGGATGCATTTATCTATATTACTATTTACTAAATGACATCGCAACATTTGATACATGTATACAGCAATCCAAATAGCTTCTTACAGGCCTGTAGCAGTTTTTAAAAGTGAAGGGGGGGGGTCTGAAAAAAATCCCGCGTGACACACGTCGATCTGTGCTAGCTGCATGTGTATTTTTCCAATGAAAGAATCTTCCGTACAAGTCCAAAACAAGTCCCAGCCGTTAAAGGTTACCGACGATAGCCCGATTTTATTTTAAATTAAAAAAAGAAAACTATAGATATATCAGGGAAAGAATTCAAAATTAATTGCGTGCTATTAAACTACTATCACTCAAACTAGGCAGAAAATTGTAAAAATGTAAACGATGGTTAACCTCTGTCACCTATCAGAGTAACCATTGAACTCGTCCAAAGATGCATTGGCGGCTGATGTAAAACTAACATGAGATTCCTGAGCAAAGGAAAAGCGAAATCTCTGTATAGAAACTGTTGTGGCTGCGGAGCATCACAAATTATTCCTTTGTTATAAAATAGAATCCGACATTTAACATTATTCTCGGGGGGGGGGGGGGCTGACATTCGTTACAAGGGGGAAAAAAGCTTTTCTTTAGGGGGTATGACCGTAAATGAGCTTAGATTGCACACTAAATACTCCATCCTCGGGTCCTACAAATCTAGCATTATATGTAATCTTTAACTGAGATGTTTCTCTTTCAAGGAATACAACACTGGTAAAAACTGAACAATAAAACCTGAAGACGATCAAAACATTTTACATATGGGGTATTTGTGATAAATGGATGTCCCCATTTAAAGCTTAATGCTACATACAGTAAACAATAGATACCTTAATCAAGACGTTGCTTCTTTCATTCGTTGTTACAGATTTAGTACGAGACCACAAATTTAAATTTTAATTTAAAAAATTTACATGTTTCAAGATGGAACAAATCTTTTTTGTAATACGTATTTATTTAAAACCCAGAACTTTTTTTTTTAAGAAACACAGACCTCTATGTATGGTCCACGTATTGCGGTCCTTTTTGAAGGACAGCAACTTGTTAAAACTTTAACCTTATACCTTTCAGAATAAATATATGGGTTACTCTATAAAAATGTGACTAGAAAACTTCCAAATATTTATCTGAATTTATTTCCTCAGTTTTGCAGAAAAATTGAAAATCTCTAGGGATACGGGTTAATCTATAAAAATGTTGTCACCAATACCTGTCATTGTATGACAGTCACTTGGTACATGTACTTGAACATTGCTTCCTTGTCAACGACATTTTTTATTATTGAAACGTGTTCTACGGAATTTGTTAGAAGTTTCTTTATGACTTAGTTTTATGGTTAGTGTTATGTAACATGCAACAATTTCGTGTATCACAAACTGATAAAGAATTAAAAGTGTCAACAGAAGGATATCCCAGATTTAAAATGTTCTGTACACGTTTATAAAAAAAAATGTCAGATCGATAAAACTCTCAGTGGAGGTGAAAATCAGTGGCTTTTTATTTCTTGGGTTTTTTTTCCGCTATCTTAAAATGTTTCGATATATTCTTTATCAAACAGAAATATAAAAGCAATCGCAGTAATATGGGTACATATTTTGTTTTACTTTTATTGACTGTATTTCAGCTACATGTAGAAATATATCAGGGAAAGAATTCAAAATTAATTGCGTGCTATTAAACTACTATCACTCAAACTAGGCAGAAAATCGTAGAAAATGTAAACTATGGTTAACCTCTGTCACCTTTCAGAGTAACCATTGAACTCGTCCAATGATGCATTGGCGGCTGATGTAAAACTAACATGAGATTCCTAAGCAAAGGAAAAGCGAAATCTCTGTATAGAAACTGTTGTGGCTGCGGAGCATCACACATTATTCCTTTGTTATAAAATAGAATCCGACACTTAACATTATTTTCGGGGGGGTGGGGGGGGGTGGGGGGGTGGGGGGGGCTGACATTCGTTACAAGGGGAAAAAAAGCTTTTCTTTAGGGGGTATGACCGTAAATGAGCTTAGATTGAACACTAAATACTCCATCTTCGGGTCCTACAAATCTAGCATTATATGTAATCTTTAACTGAGATGTTTCTCTTTCAAGGAATACAACACTGGTAAAAACTGAACAATAAAACCTGAAGACGATCAAAACAGCTTACATGTGGGGTATTTGTGATAAATGGATGTCCCCATTTAAAGCTTAATGCTACATACAGTAAACAATAGATACCTTAATCAAGACGTTGCTTCTTTCATTCGTTGTTACAGATTTAGTATGAGACCACAAATTTAAATTCTAATTTAAAAAATTGACATGTTTCAAGATGGAACAAATCTTTTTTGTAATACGTATTTATTTAAAACCCAGATTTTTTTTTTTAAGAAACACAGACCTCTATGTATGGTCCACGTATTGCGGTCCTTTTTGAAGGACAGCAACTTGTTAAAACTTTAACCTCATACCTTTCAGAATGAATATATGGGTTACTCTATAAAAATGTGACTAGAAAACTTCCAAATATTTGTCTGCATTTATTTCCTCAGTTTTGCAGAAAAATTGAAAATCTCTAGGGATACGGGTTAATCTATAAAAATGTTGTCACCAATACCTGTCATTGTATGACAGTCACTAGGTACATGTACTTGAACATTGCTTCCTTGTCAACGACATTTTTTATTATTGAAACGTGTTCTACGGAATTTGTTAGAAGTTTTCTTTATGACTTAGTTTTATGGTTAGTGTTATGTAACATGCAACCATTTTGTGCATCACACACTGATAAAGAATTAAAAGTGTCAACAGAAGGATATCCCAGATTTAAAATGTTCTGTACACGTTTATAAAAAAAATGTCAGATCGATAAAACTCTCAGTGGAGGTGAAGATCAGTGGCCTTTTATTTCTTGGGGTTTTTTCCGCTATCTTAAAATGTTTCGATATATTCTTTATCAAACAGAAATATAAAAGCAATCGCAGTAATATGGGTACATATTTTGTTTTACTTTTATTGACTGTATTTCAGCTACATGTAGAAATTTGGGCCATTCAGTATGTACAGATGCATGTAAGTATTTTGTTTTTAGAATATACATGTATACCATATTCTTCTGAATAAAAAAGAAAAAAAACCCATTAAATCCTACCATTTTAATGATAGTTTCACATTTACAGGGAATACAAGCATGTACGGAATCGTTGGATACAGTTCGGCTTGTTGACTCTTGTCCAACCGATGAAAAGTCATGGAAGGATGCTGAATTTTTAAAAGGATGTGGAAAAGTTCAACAAGATTGTGTATCTTCGAAGCGCTTTCTCTATCATTGTATTCTAAATGACATGATGAATGCAACGATCGAAGTGTGCGCTCCCATTCGGACGATGTTTGGTAAAAGTTCAAATCTATTAAAAATATTTTTTTTCGGAGTTTATATTTGAGAAAAAAAATAGTGGTCAAATGGGAAAAAAATGCAGTAGACACAGGAAAATGTATGTTCGTCACGTCCTTTTGACATTTTTGCTAAAATAAATTTATTCTTTTTTCAAAAAAAAAAAAAAAAAAAAAAAAAAAAAAATTCTGTTAGCAGTGGAGACAGGCAGACAAATTCAACTATTGCATTATTATATCATATTCATCATAATTGAACAATCTTAATTTCTATTTTCTAGTAATATTTTTGATAAAGATCATATAATTGAATTTATGAATAAAAATTCTATAAAGTCTATAATAAAGTTTAAATCGGAAGATGAAGATTTGACAACAAGTGTATAGCGCTTTTATTGTTAGGACCAGATCCGTATAGGAAGCATTTTCAGTTTGGGGGACCCGAATTAGCGCAAAAATTATTTGACAAGCCAAAAAAAAAAATAATAATAACTAGAAACTCATTGCGAGCAATGAGAGGTCTTCCGTCCGATTCTGAAAATAAAAACAAAAATTCACGCTGAAAAAGTGATAAAAGAAATTCAGCGTGAAAATCCAAGAAAGCTAACCATTAACCATTCACTTTTGTGCATCACTTCCTGTCACGACCGGAAGTAACGGTGATACAAGATTTTCTCACGATTCAAATAAACTGATGACAGACTATCAGACCTGAAAGTTTTAGACTTCAGTCGTTTACTGTTGCCGAGCAATATTGTGAGAACAAATTCTAATTTTGACCGGAAGTGAATTCTATAAAAATCTCTGCAAACTTTTTCAATCAAAAAGATGAAAACATACATAAAACTCCTTGAAGACTCTCTATTCACCCTGTAAATCCCAGAGAAAAATATTGAAAAACAAAAATTGCAAATTTAACATTTTTGAATTCACTTCCGTTTGCGACCGGAAGTAAGAACGACGAAAAATAATGGTTAATCACCATATCTACATTTGATGCTCTATCACCTCAGCAAGTTTCATATTCATATCTTTAGCCATTCTCTGATGATACTGTTTACTTTCTTTTATTCTTTATGTATTCAACTTTTTATTTCATGTAATTCCATATACAGGCATGTCCATGTAATCTTTTTCTGCACTTCTATATACTTCTGCATCAGACCATTTGTCTACTACGAAAGGTTGTTCACGGTACATTATTTCGCGCGAAACGTCACGGGTAAATATTCGCGCATTTCCTTTTGAATGTATTTTCTATTGAATGGTGATAGCTTCAATGAAATTTCAAAATGTTCTTATAACCTGAATATCGAGCTTGAGAAAGTATATTTATCATATTGTACTTATTATATATCGTATGGATAAGTAACACTAAAGCAGTGATTTAGGTAAGATTTTGTACAAGTTTTATTTTCCTGTTTACCCCCCAAGTGGACTATCCCTATTAGTTACACATTCATGAAAAGACTGGAATGTTTCGCCCAAAAACATGTCTCGTCCTGCGACGGTCAAGGAATCTGATACCATTTATGTTCAATAACAACATCTTTTAGAAAAAAAAAATATTTATATTAACTTCATTAAACAATCTTTATTTTTGTCTTTTCTGTTCATTTAATATGACACAAGCCTGCATGGGGAAAAACTATGGCCACGTAATAATTACTATATATTGATTGCTTTAGTCAGGCAAGTTTCTTGAAAGGCTATTACTTATAACCATGGTTTAGGATCAGTTTTTCCGTGGTGTAAAACAAAAGGTTGTAGTTATCGTATTTCTACTTGTAGTCATGTCGTTTTTCTACTTTGAGATACAGACAAGAACAATTAAAGTAGACGTTTGAGGAAACCCCGGATTAAAACTCTAGTTCGAAACAGAATTGCAACGTAATTGTGATGTGACAATCCAACAATTCCTTCACATTTCTTTGATCCTTATGGTACTTTCATTCAAACAAACGCTCGGCTGACTCCGTAAATTCCGACCTACTTATCGGAGTTTACAGAGATAGCCGCCATTTTGGACCCGCTTCAAATTTAGAAATGCGAATATCTAGAGTTTGGATTGATCAATTCTAAAATAAATTATATATTAAGCATTTTCAGAAGAGCCTCTATTAACCTTATTAAAATGAAAGAAAAATATAGAAAAACAAAAAAGTTTAAAAATTCGACTTTTTTAAATTCGCATCCGGTAACGACCGGAAGTACTGACGACGCACAAAAAGGTGATTCCCCTCATCTAGAAGACATAACCTATCATCTCTAACAAGTCTCCAGTTCATATCTTAAACCATTTTTGAAAAAAGGGGGGACAAAATCTCATTTTAAAATCAGAAAACTGTCAATAACTTGGCACCGGAAGCGAGTTTACCAAATTTTCCTTCTGATGAACAAAGTCCATTTGACGACGCATAATTCCTGAAAGTCTCATTTAAAACCACTGAACAGTTTTTGAGAAATCGCCTGCACAAAATTTTAGGGAAAAAAAAGAAGAAGAAGAAGACGAAGAAGAAGAAACAGTAGAATCACTATAAGGTCTTCCGTGAAGACGGAAGACCTTAACAAGGTCGTCAGGCGTTTTAATGATGAGGCACAAGCATAAGGTAACATTATACAAGCATTGGCAATATTGATTATGATAGCCCCGAAAAGATATTGCCTGACGCAATCAATAAATAGCATTATAAGCTTTTAACAACTCACTGGAAATAAACAATTTGTATCCCTGAAACATCTACTGACAGCATGCATTCTAGTTGTCGTAAAAATGGAATGACCGTCTATATTTTTCGGAAGAGGCAATATCAATTAGTGCCTGTTTCTCTACATAAAGAGAATAAAGAGGCTATTCTTTACTAAATAGAACAAAAATTTCTATACTATACTTTATGTCGGTAATATTATTGGGGGTGGCAGGAGAGGCAAGGCGAGTATTAATTTCCTTTGTTAATAAAGTTTTCAGAAATAAATGACAAAAAGTTCAGAAAAAGAAAATGGGTCAATACATGCATCTATTGAATTTTTCTTTGTTGTAGCCTTTCTTATATTTCCAGTGGCTAAGAAACTGAAATTTTCCTCCTAGGATACTTTAAGATATATGTGTTTAGTTTAATCTACTTTTCAGCGCCTTTGGTTTAAATATATTATTATCCTTCAGAATTATACAGTTAATCTGATTGGTTTAAAGCATGTCACGTGCAGGGAGACAATCCGTGATGTCTCCCTCACGCGCAGGGTGATAACTGTGCTGTCTCACTTCAGATGACAATGAAATAAAGCAAGCGCGCATGCAGGGTGACAAGTGTGTTGTCTCCCTTTAGATTAAAAGAAAATGTCGTAAGCGAGATAACTTCTATAATATTATTTATGGAATGAATTAAATAGCTACCCAAATTATATTATATTACCTGGGTTGGGAAGTTTACGCTTTAAAAACCGCGAAGCATAAATTCTAACCCAGGTTCTACAAGACAGTATAATTAGGGTAGCTACTAAATTTATTCCTTATAATTTAATTTTCTATGATCAAATGTAAAAAAAAAAAAAAAAAAAAAAAAAAAAAAAAAGTTTTCCTTTCAAAAAGGTTTCCAAATTCTACAAATTTTAAATGTAACGTCAAGCGGATTGATATGTTTTTAATTGTAACGTCGGCAATATAGGTTTTACGATATAAACATTTTTTTTATTATCCAATCAAATGACGAGTTACTACAAGAATTTAATTTTGTAATTGGTATATATGCGGGATCAGTAAAAAATAAATTCCATCTGTGACGTCAAAGTTGTCTGTTGACTTCTTTGAAAGCAATGGGTAGGACAACACAAGAGTTTTGACTGATATTTTCTACTCCATCTTATTAAAGAGCTAAAGCCACGAACCATCATATTTGGCACTGTGTTTTTCACAAAAATAAAGTTTCGGTTCAAGAAGAGTACTATACGTCAAATGTTAGAGGACAACATTCCTCTTTTCCATACATAACTCATTTCGTTATATAATGCGCCATTAAACACGTGCGAAGGTTGGAAAATGCGACGATTTCATAAAAACGTTAAAAAAATGCCGTTTTTTCGACAGATTTTCCCAAAGTTAGATGTGGCCACAGCCAAGAACAACTTTTATACTTCCCATAGATATAGATATTGCCGATGCAAATCTTCATGTTTATTATCGTTGTTGTTCGTGGCTGTGGCCAATATGAAATTTTATTTTATAATTAAATTTTGATGGATCAAATAATCACTAATTTGTGGATCAATCGTTTACATTCAATAAAGGTAATAATAAAAAATTATAAATTTCACAAAATTTGCTAGAAAATCAGTCTATTGTTCATTTAAAACGCTAAATGTGAAAAAGAGTCAACTATATACATGTTCTGAAATAATTATCTGGAAAAACTTAGTGGTTTTTACTATGGCTAGGTCATTATATATGATGTTACTAGTAATACGTCAGTTGTGACGTCATAAAGGCTGTAAATTATTTTGGATGTTACTAAAAAGTGTTTTTTTAATTTAAACGCTCTCGAATATAATGAAATTAAGATACTGTCCCTATTTTCATGTATATGATTTAATTAAACACAACTGGATGATACCATCAAATTATAAGTTATCAGAAATTCCCTCCAAGGTGATTTTCATTACTACACCTACCCCCTCCCAGAAATAATTCAAAAATACTGTTGTTCATTGCCGTAGGAACCGGGAGGGGGGGGGCACGGGGAGCCGTGCCCCCCCCCCCCCCCCCCAATAATTTTGCCGATATATAGATTACTATAGTAAACATAGATACCATATGCTTGTGCCCCCTCAATAAAAACATCTGATGACCTTTTTTTTTTCTTTTTTTTTTTGCTTCTCAGGAAAGTTTTGGTAGTGCCCCTCAACTGTCAACTGAAAATGTATGGCTAAGCCCCCCCCCCCCCAACTGAATTTGCTTCCTACGGGCCTGTTGTTAACAGTGTTAACAGGCATGACTTAAATTGAAA